GGGGAAAAAAAAAAAAAAAAAAAAAAGAAAGAATGAAAGACACAGACAGATCTGAGTATAGTCCATAAACTTGGAAACCAAAAGCAACAACATAAGCAAAATTAAAAGACACTTTCAAATCCAGGAAAAATATTTGCAAAAAATATGACAGTAACTATGAATCAGTTAAATGTTATGGTACATCCAAAGAACAGGACATGATAAAAAATAGGTCTTTAATGACAGGGGAAGCTGCTCAAAATATAACAGGAAAAGCTGGGCATTGTGGTGCACATGGGTAATCTCAGCATTTGGGAGGCTGAGGCAGGAGGATCACTGTGAGTTCGAGACCAGACTGGGCTATATAGTGAGGTCCAGGTCAGTCTCAATTACATATTGAGACCCTGTTTCAAAAAACAAAAAGAGAACAGAAAAGCAGGATCTAAAATCACAGAAAGCAACACATCTCAACTTTATGGGATCCTGTACACTTGACTGGTTTTCTCCTGCGTCCACGCAGAGCTACATGAAGTCTTGTGAGAGACTGAAAGGAAAATGTAGCTGCTGTCCGGGAGCAGAGGTGGGATGTCCCACCTTTGTTTTCACTCTGCAAGGAAAGGGAGCCAACCCAACGTGGAGGGAGGTGACGGCGTGTGACAGAGATGCGGGGCTCTTACTCACCCATCATACTGGTCCAGGCTGATCTCATAGAGCGTCTCCTTGGCTTGGTTAGCATGCTCAGTGACTGTGGGGAAAACAACAGGACACTGTACAGACTCTGTTCACACCTGCGGGTCCACGTAAGACGCCAGTTTAGTGGTGAGTCCTGAAGGCCTTGGGGAGGACTTCTGGGAAGATGTGCTCTACTGGGTGAGATCTGACATTCTCGGCTCTTGACTGTCAACAAATCCTTTCTTCCTAAGCAACCACAGCTTCTGTTACACTTTTTCTTTATTCTAAGCTTACTTTCAAAATATTATGAAGAATTAGAATGCGGACAGTTAGTCTCTGCAGCCAACGTAAGGAACAAAGCTCTACTGAGACTCCTCTGCACACACATTTTAGGTCCCTGCTTTCCTGAGATGTCACTGTCACTCTCACTGAAAGCTCTGTAAGGCCACACACAGTGCTCAGACCTCCCGAGGGTGCCCACAAGTGCCATAGGGTGCCTTGGGCACCCCACACTCTGCTCTCGTGGAAAGTGTGTCAGTCTCGGGTACAGTGACTGTTTCTAGAAATGATTTAGAAAACAGAATTGTGGGCAAAAAATCTTTCTTTTTTTAGGATCTTGACCTACATGGCTGAGTGGCTTTTTAATCCATAATATGAAACCCACAAGGCCCCAAAAATGCTGTGCCATGCACAAGGCTTGTGTTCTTTTTTTGGTACTGGGGATCAAACTCGGGTCCTTGCGCTTGCAAGGCAGGAGGCGGAACCACTGAGCTAAATTCCTGCCCCTGTGTTGTTTCTGAAAGTGGCATCCAGGGTGAGAGTAGTTTCAAGCCACTGATTTCTTGTGTCTCTTCTTGCAACAACTGTAGAAAGATCTGCCCCTTGTCTTTGTCCTTGTATCTTCCTGAGTACTTTATATGCTAAGACCTAGCTAGCTACCAGTAGAAAAGATGACACTATTTATTTTGTATTCTTTCCATTCTGTCAGTTAAAAATTCTCTTTTGTTTAAAATAACCCTAGAGAATACAAATCTTCTCTAATATATACATACAGGATACATAGTTTGTTTTGAGTTCTGATAACAGGTCCTCCCTATGTGGTCCAGGCTGGCCTTGAGTTCATGGCAGTCTCCTGCTCCGCCTCCCAAGCGCTGGGCTTACAGGCGGGCGCCACCACGCCTGTGACTGTCTGAATCTTGCACAGGCTACTTGTGCCCCTTCCGAGAAGGCCTTACCGATGATGTCTGTGGTGATGGACGCCAGCGAGAACAGCGGTGCCACTTTCCTGTCGTATATCCGCTTGCCTTGTCTCTTCCCTCCAAAGGGGTTGATGAAGACCAGTAAGTGCTTTGGTCTGCACGCTGCAAACAACCACACCAGGGAGACTGTAGTGAGCACCACCAAGTCAGACTCCAGACCTGACCCATGAGGGCTTCGCAATGCTGCTCTGTGTTACTCCACAGAAACGTTTACAAATGTTAAAGAACTGGGACAGGAGTTTCCCCGTGCTGTTAGTGTGTTGCCATGGCAGTGCCTCCGCACCTCCACTGGGCAGAACGAGGACCCCGGCTTTCAGCCCGGACAGACACTCTGCTCAGGCCTGAGGGGTCAGTTCTGGGTGGCTGGGGTTCCTCCCGCTCCCAGGAAGGAGACGAGCTGGGTATGAGTGTGCGAGTGTGAACCAGACATTCCGAACGGAGCTGGGGAAAAAGCAACAGACACAGGAGGAGGAAGCCTGCTGCGGGGACAGGAGGGCAGGAAGGAGGGGCGCATGGCTTTGGCCTCTGTCCGTTCTGAGACCCCACCTGAAACCTCTGCCAGGGCTTCCTGAGGCCCTTAACTTCTCAGGACAACTCCCACATTTCCATTTTGCTCTGCTCAAGTGGAACTGGACACTTAACACATGTAACCAACAAATCAGAAGTACCAAGAAAGTTAAAAACATGTGTCCACCATTGCCAGGACACACCTGTCCACTAAAGCACCGCCCGACAGCCAGAGTGGGACTGTGCTGCCCGGCCAGCGACAGCGAGTCCACGGGGGAAATGGCCGGACCTCAGGGGCTCTGCAGCCGGGACAGGGACAAACAGCAGACACCACCAGCAGGTGAGCTCCAGAGGTGCCACGATGGGCTGAGCGCTGGAATTCAGATCAAATGCTGCCCCCAGGTGCTCCTGGTGAGGGTGGGGCGGCCAGTAAAAACGATGACCCATTAGTGGACAGAGGGAGGGGCGATGGTCAGACCGTGACTAGGCGTGAACCCCAGGGCCTGTGCGGGGAGGCCATGAGTGAGCGTCTGCCACACGATTCGCTCAGGGTTTCTGTGGGTGTCACAGGGCTCCGGAGGAAATACTGGGGAATGTCACGAGAGAAAATCCCACAAGGCCAAGAGGCGACAAAAAGTGGCCTTTTTGAAAACATTCATAAAATTGCTAAGCCCCTAACAGAACTGGTAGTGAAAAAGGGACGAAACACAAGTAGCCAATCTTGGGAGAGGAAGAGGACGCCACTACGGAATCTACAAATATTAGGGAGAAAATGAAAAGGGGTATTGATACATTCACGCTGGCAAGTCTAAACTTCCACAAAATGCACACACTTCTCAGAAACCATGATTCACCAGCAATGTCAGAAGACACAGAAATTCTGATATCTAATAAAGAATCTGAAGCCACTAACAAAAACCTTTCCACCGACAAAACCCAGGCCACAGTGGGTTCGATGTGTAACTCCTCCCCGCCAGCAGGAAAAAACTGCCTCAGCACCATGGGAGTCCTCCAGGAAGAGGTCAGAGAGAACAGCCGGGGGCTGCGTGTGAGGTCCCTGTGACCGACAGCAAGACAGGCACGGGCGTCCACACAAGTCACAGGCCCGCTTTGCCTTGCATACAGGAAATATCAGGAGGGGAATTTCTGGGCTGCATAAAGTGGGCTTTCTCCACCAAACCCAACTCCCATTTAGGTCTTGAAAAAACCAAAACCCTCAGAAAACTAGGATTAGCAGGGAATTTCTTCCTTTATTTTTATTTATTTATTTTGAGACAGGACTCACTATGTAGTTCAGCCTGGCCTTGAATTCACTAGGTAGCCCAGGCTGGCCTCGAATTCCAGCAATCCTCCTGCCTCAGCCTCCTGAGCATTGAAAATATAGGCATGCACCACCACACCTGGCCTCTTTAATGAAAATATAGAAAAACCTAAAAACACTCTTTTTTTTTAAGTCCTGGGAATGGAATACAGGGTCTCATAAATGCTAGGCAAGTGCTGCACTACTGAGCTATATCTCTTGTCTTTTTTATTTCTCAGACAGGCACTTACTATGTTGCCCTGGCTAGCAACATGGAACCTGCAATTCTCCTGCCTCAGACTCCCAAGAATAAGATACACCATTAATGGTAGGATGTGAAAACTCTGTCCCTGAGGTCGAGAGTAAGACAAGTGTGCGCTGGTCACACCAGTAGTCCATACCTGGCCAAAAATTAAGACAAGGGAAGAAGCTTGTATGTCTCAAAATTGTACATTAACTAATCAAAAATCTCATTTAAATATTTAATTGGATTTGATCACAGCACATATTCATTTATAAATAAACACTCTTTTAGACTGTGTCACTGGCTAGCTGAAACAAAGTTTCTAAGTATAGCTATTTGGCTCAGATAATTCTGTTTCATTCCGATTTTAGGAGTGTTTTAGAAGTAACTTACTACGACAGCAGTCTCAAATACACGTGTTGGTTTCTGCTATAGTTCCACCCTGTTCAATAATCAAAATGAATAAAGATATTATCGTGGGGTTATAATTTTTCAAAGCAAACTGGTCATCCAGACTGGAACTTCAGAAAGTCTTGCTTTCAAATTGGTTTTGACATACTGGCTAGAATGCGCTGCCTCTTAAGCACATTATCAAATCAAAAGTAACAACATTTATTACTGTCTTATGTTTATACTGACGTTCTAAGCAGGAGCTACACAACAGCACAAAGAATCTCTTAAAGCTGGTGCTTTCATATATCTTAAATGTATACACTCTGGTTTCTCTTCAGACCGTATAAATCTCTCACCTTTTAAATGTATGTGTAATATCATGTATTCAAATCTAACTATAAACACATTTCAAATCCAAA